ATGAGAGATATATGCATGAATGAATAAATAAACATTGTCTACTACTTCAAATCTTCAATGTTATGCTTTGAGTTTTGTTAGATTCACAATGTAACTAATTCATGCATAACTTTTTCATCCGATATCAAATCGTTGTTGTAAATAAGATTAGAATTGGCAACAGGTCGAAATCACATTTCAAGCTAGAACGATACTGATAAATTTGAATCATAGTTCGATCAATTTCAAATAACAACAATCACTACGAAAAATATAAAAAAGAACAAAAAATAAGGAAACATAGTTATCAACCAAAATTTCTCCTATGATACATTTTCTAAGCATGAAACACCCTAAAGAGGGGTACAAATTGCTAAAGAAAATTAAATATTAGGAATGTTTGTAAATAAAATAACATAGATTAGTATTTTAGAAATTAATTCATATCTTCTTGTTTCATTTTATATTTTTTAATGGATAGAATTGAAACAACACCTGGGGGGGCGGCCTCCACTCCGCTTTTCACTCCTTACGTTGATATTCCAACCTTCAAACTGCCGATCAAACAGATACTTCATCGTTTCCAACACATCACCACATATATTTTTTTAATTATATTAATTAGGGTAAATTACAAAAACTCCCCAAACGTATGCTAAATTACAAAATTTTCCTAATATTTGTTTCCATCTCACACACCGACTATCTTATCCTGTGATTATTCGCAGAATCTTTTTTCATCATAGAATATTCCCCCAAATTAAATAAAAAAATCGTGAAAAATTACACCATAAGGAAGTCGGTGTAAGACGAAAACCAACATCGGGGTGATTCTGATAATTACGGATAAACAAGAGCAGTTTTTGTAATTTAGCGTAATCTGAGGGGGTTTTCGTAATTTACCCTATACTAGTTAATACTCCAAAACTGAAATGATTTGTGCATGCACATATTAAACAGTCAGGCACATTTTTTACCATTTCTCAAAAAACAAAAGGCAAAAAACTCAAAAACTCTCTCTACCCTTTCGATTTTCTTTCGCAAAGCCCGTGCAAATCGTCAACAGATCGGAGGTAATTTTTACGTTTTTACGATCCTCTTGTTATGTAGATTACGAATCCGAAAAAAAAACGAAAAAAATCGAAACTTGGCAACGCTCGCCTGAATTTACGCGAGCGCATCCACTGCGCTCGCGTAAATTCAGGCGAGCGTTTTAATATTTTTTTTTTTATAAATTTATTTCTTAAAAAATTCGG